TATATATATATATATATATACGCACCACGCCTTCAAAAGGCATGGGCGAATCAAACCTACAAGGAGACTTGCCAGTGGCACGCAATGTCCTGTCTGCTTGCGACAGTACCGATCGAACCGCGACCTCTGCAATCATTTGGCATATACGGCATCTTGCCGGCATGCGTTGATTAACGCTGGTTTTGAGAGTGCCCCTGCGCCAGGGGTCGGCAGCAGAAAGTACGATGACGGACAAAATTGTCTTTTGCCGGCCACGCAGGCCCAAGGTCCTGAGTACCAGTGGGACTTCACAACTGTTGTCGAAGAGGCAGATATGCCACGCACGGAGGTTCTTGAAGCACTGGAAGACTGCTTCTGCAACGACGTTGGTACTGTCACCACCGCGCAGCAGCTTGCGACTGTTGTTCGCAGAGCCTTTGGTTTGCGATGCCTTCAGGTGTCCAGGCTCAGGGCAACCGCGCGTCAATGGAGTAGCAAGCTGCAAGAAGCACTTAACCAAGACGATGACGTCCCCATCCACTGGGCCTCCTGGCACGTTCAGCTTGCCAACCAGCTGTGTGACGTTGATTTCGTCGAGTGGTTTAGAAACGAGAGCGCCAGCCCCACGCAGCCAATCGCAACCTTTCGGGATGCGGCCACCTTGACTGCATGGCTGGAGTTTCCGAAGGGAGCAATCACGAGTGTTCCTGTGCCAACGGGCAAAGGCATTGGATTTTTGCCGAGAGAAGTTCCCGGGGGCAGTCCTTTCTTACGCAGGTGTTTCTCCCATCGCCAGTGTAAGGACACCCCAAGGCACCTTGACTTCAAGGCCATATCCGACACTCTTGACCCCTCCGAGTTTGTCTTCATATCGTGTGACGAGTTGTTAGACTCGCTTGGAACACCACGGCCCTTGAGGTCCTATAACTCCCTTTCTGGCCCACTCACCTCGCTCCGTCTCCTCTCGGATCTCATACGGGGAACCTTATTCCTCTGGAACAGGCGAACCCCTACCTGCCTCAAAGTGCCGAAAGTCTCCTGTTCAACAGTTGAGACCTTGCGTAAGCTCGCTCCTTATGCTAATACAGCACGGGGGGATGAGTATTTCGCCAATTTCGCACTGACAGATGAGGCAAATCGTCTCACCTTTTTCAATTAGGTGCAAGCCACATGGCTGCGTCCAACAGGACTCTTCGCCCCGAAAAGCCAAAAAGCGATATATATATATATATATACACATCAAATAATTGGACAGGAGCGTGGACTGCAAGATGCCCTCATAGTTGCACGGCTGCTTCATCTCAGCAAGCAGTGTGTATGTATGTATGCATGCATGCATGTATGTCTATATCTATACATATATCTATCTATATGAACTGAATGATAAACTATCTCTCTCCCTCTATATATATATACAGACACACATACACGCACAAAGATATGTGTGTCTATATACAAATATGTACATGTATACATGTATACATATATATATATATATGTATACATATATATATATGTATACATACATATATATATATATAATGTGTATATATATTTATATATATATGTACACATCTATTTAGTTCTGTTCTGGCACTGCTTTGAATTTGTAGACATCGCGGCAGCCTGTCAGCGGTTCTTAAGCGGCCTACTGAGCGGTGCGGGGTTTTCAGGCTAGGGTTCAGGTCCAGCAGCTCTTTCAGAGGTTCTTTTGGAGCCGGTTCGAAAAGCAGGTCTCACCTTTTCCCTCCCTCCCTCCCTTCCGCCCAGGCTGCGGGAGCGGGCCAGCAAGCTGTTCCGCTGAACGGCGGCAAGAAGTGGAAGGGTAACATGCTGCAGTTTTCCTTCGACGAGTGGCTAAATCGAGACGTCTCAACCAATGCAAAAATCCTAAATCGTATGCTCTTGGAAGTCACACAGCTGGTCAACGAGAAGAAGATGCAGTTCGTCATCAAAGAGTACACTACGCAGCGGTTCAACATGGCTGTTCTGAATGCAAAGCAGATTGGCAGGACCCACTGCGTGGTGTTGCATCTGCCTCGTCTGGAAGAGGTGACTAGACGGTACACAGATGATGCCCTGGTGCTTCAAGAAACTAGCTTGCAAGACGACAAGCAGCACCGACGTAGCTGGGACTTGGACTTCTTGGAGTGGGAGGATGCCGGTGCGGAGGAGGAGTACAACTGGCGAGTCGACAAAGAGAAGAGCTTGTTCAAGATGCACCCGGATGCAGCAGATGGAGCCATTGAGAAGTACAGCAATGACACCTCCCCCACACCCATCGCACAGGAACTGGGAGCCAGCCCTGCCAAAGCGGAAGCAGTGCTGTTCTGGTTGCCTGGGAGGGGTGAGATCCCCCAGGAACATGCGCACTGGCTTGAGAGACTCACCGATACCAACAGAGAGTTGCGGGTGGTGATCTTGGAGCCGCATCAGCTGGAGCAAGACCTGAAGTGGTGTCTCGGCTGAACGTCATGGGTCCCAGGGCGGAAACTTGAAGGGCCGGAGTGCTCTGAGTGAACTGAGGTACGACCTGCCGCTTGGAGAGCAGATTCGGGTTCCTGACGTGGGCTTTGTTGTCGCCCTCTCATCGCGCTTTGAGCGCGGGTTTTGGTGAGTAGGGACGAGTGTGCCTGCCTGAGGTCGGACAATGAAGCAGTGTATCTTGGATGAAAGGAGTGCTCGTGACATCTTGGAAGCGGATGCGTCCCTAGGCCCTAGACCCTAAACTCCTAAACCCTACAGCCCCAAGGCCGAACCCCTAAATCCAGAAATCCTAAACCCTAAATGCACTAAACCCGAAGCCCTTCCCCGAAATCTTGCTGTAGCCGAATCTTGCTGTAGCCGAGGCAACTGGGTCTTCGATTCGGCGTCGTTGACGATGAGCTCGGCAATCCTCTCGGCCAGCTCTCGCGATCAAAGGGCGCCTCCTGGCCGAATTCTCGGCGGCGTGGCTCTGGATTCATAGGCAAAAGCCACACACACACATATATATATATATATATCTATATATATCTATATATATCTATATGTACTCACACAGAGACACACACATACACATGTAAACCCATGTATGTACATATATATTTACTATGTACATAATATATATATATATAGAGGCATACGTGGGTATATATATATATATATATATGTATGCATAAGATCTGTGTTCATTTGTGTTGGAATAAGGCCGCAAGCTTCGAGATGCCCCTGCTGCCCAGCGAGATCGACGCTCTGAGACAGGTCTTCGGGGCAAAAGTTGGATGATTTCGCTTGAACCCCCAGACCCTAAGCCCTGAACCCCAAACCCTAAACCTAAAACTGTGTCATAAAACTTAAAAGAACCCTGAGCCCTAGGCTTTTTCCTCACAAAAGCTCTGAGACAGGTGGAGTGTGCTGCGCTTGCTCTAAAGCGGCGAGCGCTACCCGGCTAGCCTTACGTTTTGCCATCTCTACGGAATGATAGTAGGGTTTAGGGTTTAGGATCAAGGCCACCTTCAGTGTACTGGTTTCTTGTTATTCTTGTTCCAAGCACTCTTGTTCTTATGCCTACGTGAGCCTGCTCCTTACTTGCTCTGCAAGATCCCTGGTCCTGAGGCAGCTTGAGGAGGAGCAGCTGAAGCGTACATCCAGAAGCTCGACCTGACACGAAGGGCTGTACTACAAATAGTATAGCAGAATTTCACGGAATTATCAGATTCAAATGATATCTACGAACAACAGCCAACGAGCAACATAACAGTTTTGACAATGACAATAGTAAGTATTTTGGGGTGTGAGGCCACCTCACTGGCGAAGACCCCAGATCTTGGTCGTTCTGGGCCGCGAGAACGTGTTTCATTTTGTCATCTCTTGTCATCGTATTTTCCAGGCAACTCTTTGCCATTCTTCTTTGGCGGCTTTGGCCAGGGGGGACTCTTGGCTGACTTGGCGGCAAGCGTCATGGCTCACTGCGGCTTCTTTGCTGAAGCCCCGAGCTTAGGGGTGGTCGCGCTGTACGCTGCGACGTGCCTGATGGACGGAAGTGTTCTTTGCGTCTTTTGCATTCGCCCCTACAGTCCTGTCTTCTGCCCCACAGGAGAAGCCTATCGATGCAGTTGCCTTCTGTCATAGCGGAGTGCCAGCGGCTTCAATGATTGGCAAGCGGCTAACTCCCCAAGTGAGGACGGCGCTGCGGTTTTGCATAATGTGTATTTCCTTTGGGTATTTCGCCTTGGTCAGGAGGGCCACGAGATTGCATGCCATCTATGACAAGGCCGACGAAGAAATTCCAACAACATTTCCTGAAGCTTGGCTTGAGGGACAGTCTCAACAGGATAAGTCGATCTGGCAGTCATAGTTTGATGAGTCGCAGCATACGAGACACGTAAACCATATTAAACCATCATTCTTTCGGAGTGATCTGCTGCTAGCTTGCCTGTGCTTGGATCGCTAGACACGGAATGACATGCATGCTATGCCGAGGACACCATCCATCAGATGTTGTCTCTTGCCCAATGCCACATGCCTAGATTGAGCTGTCAGCACCGTCAGTGCTGTGCGTGCCACCTATGATGAATCAAGGCAAAGCTAGCCTCTACTGGCTGCAGAAAGGTGATGGCCACGCGTTCCAGGATGAAGCCGCGGGCGCGGTAATCAAGTGTGCCCACATGTGGCTGGAAGAGCTCCGTTCCCGCCCGGACGTGTTCCGGAGCTTCCGGTAGCGCCGCACCGACAGGTTCCTTGTCATAGGATTCCGGGGACTTTATCGAGCTGGGCGGTTGAATTCTCAACTGACGGCGCTCCGGAGTGTAGCACAGTAGGACATTTCAACTTCCGTTATGTGCCATCTTTGCAGAAGCATTATGTTCTGGAAAGGGCAAAAAACGATGCGGAAAGCGCTCCTGCCGTGCATAGCACAAGCATTCGACCAGCCAGTTGAACCCTGCGCAGGGGCATTCATCACTGTCACAGCATCCGCATTCTGCACAGAGACCTGAAGCCAGCGGCTGAGTCACAAGACTCGCAGCCTCGCGTCTCGTGCCTCTATGTCCAACAACCCCACACCCTAGACTCCGAAACTCTAAACCACGAATCTCCTGCAAATCTGTACGCCGTCCTCACTGCTAAAGCCTCAAACTACAAAGCCCGAAACATGACCGAAACCCTCAACCTGAAAGCCCAAACCCCAAGCCTGCCGAGATCTAAAGCCCGAAGACACCGAGGCCCCACAACGTCTTGGTGGACATGACGGGCTCCCGTTTCAAGCTCGCCGACTTCGGCTTGGCTCGGGCTTTCTCGGTCGTCGCCCTGGAGTGTTGGCTTTTGGGGGATCTTGGGGGTTTAGGGTAGCGAATCTATGTGTGAAGCTTGGGGTGACTGCTCGGGCGCGGGGCTCAGAGGTTTGGAGTTACATGCAGTTCATGGGTTTATGGTTTGGAGGGTTTGATTCATCTGTGAGTCTGTGAAACTGTGAAGGGATTTCGTCTGAGCTTCTCAGGTGCAGATGCGGGCCCTTACGCAGGAGGTGCCGGCGCTTTTGCTCAGGCTTTTGGCTCCCATCGTTGCTGTTGTGGAGGTGGTGAGTCTCTGGTACCGGGCGCCCGAGATCCTGATGGGAGAGCGCAAGTGAGCACTGGCTGGGCGTCTTTCGAGGTCGTCTCGGGTCCGAAGATCAAGCGAGCAGGTACGCATCTCCGACGGACATATGGTCCTTAGGCTGCATCGTGGCGGAGATGGCCACGGGTCAGGCAGATCGGGCAAAAACGTTTCTTCTCAGCACCTCCAGATGTAGGCTTCGCCAGACCCAGCAGCACTGAAGCTGAAGCGTGAGTGAATGCTCTCATCATGAATAGCCTCTATAGCTTCTGGTCGCGCCATGGCTGCCAGGTCCTATTTCCTGGAGACAGTCAGATTGACGCGACCTTACCCATTGCATCTATATCTGATGATGCAGAGGCTTGCAAGTGAGAACATGCACGCCAACTTGAGGACACCCTCTTCCGAATCTTCCGGATGCTTGGCACGCCCTCCGAAGAGGCCAAAGCTCCGACGGCTCTCCGAAAATCCTGGGCACCGCTGACTGAGAAGGTGTGGCCCGGTGTAAGCACACTCCGCGAGTTCACGCTGGACCCCTTTTTGAGATATTTTTGCAGGGACTCGGAGACTCCCCGCTTCTAGATGTAGCCGCCTGCAGGAGTTTCCGAAATGGAACCGTGCTGCCGGGGACTGACAGAGCGCTGCCTTTGAGTTGTCTGTGTTCTTTGCCTCAGGGCTTGGTGGACGTGCGTGCCAAAGCACCAGCATTGGGGTGCCGTTCTCAACATTTACCGCCGTGTCACTTGTGCAAGCTTTGGGTTCTCACTGCCTGTGACAGGCGCTGGGAAGTGTGGGATAGCAGAGCAGGAGCGAGTAGCTCGCAAAAGCAAGGCCCGATGGTTTGGATCTCGTCGATCAATGTCTCAAGCGCGGGACTTGGACGAGATAGAAAGGCTTTGATTCGAGGAACAGCGAGACAATGCTGGGGTCCCGCTTCGGCTCAGGTATAATGTAGCCGAGCGGGCTTCCGCCCGGCACCTGCGCACTGTCTGCACTTCAACGACTGCGGGTTCAGGGTCAGAGCGCACTATGACACATGTGCAAGCCGAACTTTGTCCGTCTCCGGTTTGGGTTTCGGTCTGCTCAAGGCAGATCAATGCAGTGGTTGCATTGCAAACCCAAGCAGGTTGCAGCACCGGTTCTTCGAGAACTTCGTGGCTGCGACGTGATGCTACGACCAGTTTGCTTTGCAGGCACTTGGCACGTGGCCACGTCCGATTACCGGTTCTGCGTGTTGCCACATCGACTTTGCGAAGTCGTGGGTAGGGTGCCAAAAAAACCGGCACCTTCCCATGCTGCAATAGATCCCGGGGTCAGGGGATGCAACGGAACTGTCCATACATCGCTCCACCATCTGGAACAAACTCCTAGGCTTGTGTTTTGGAAAGAAACCACCCAGATCCACTTGCTGCGGCGCTGCAGCACATCGCACATCATCGCACAGCATTCAACGCTCAGGTTACGTACAGTTTAAAATAAGTTCTACTGTGTGATCCCTGAAGCGAAGCTCAAAGTCAGTCCGTCCCAGAGCGTGAATGCCGACATACTGCAGCTACGCAACGAAACGTGTTCGGAGAATCTGGCGGCTGTTGCGCCAGAGCTGCGAGTATGTACAGATCCGTAGGCCTTAGGTAGTACCGCGCTTGGGAGGAAGTGCGATTAGCTTAGACTCTTGCACAGCAGGCACTTTTGATGTTAATGGCTGCATCATGCCTCTGATGCCGTTCGCCGCAGGTGCTCGAGAGCAGTCACATACTGGTGTGTGTGTGTGTGTGTGTGTGTGTGGTTTTCCAAGTTTGTGGGGGCTCTGAGCACTTGCTGCCCTGGAGAATCCGAGTTTTTTTCTGGACGGTCGTGGTCGTTGGCTCATGAGCCCTGAAAAATTGCATTCTATCGCCGAAGTAGATAGGACAGCTTTGTAGGCTTAGCGATACTGGCGTCGGGACCCCTGGTTGAGTATTCCCGATGCATTAGTAGTAAGACATATACGTGCCTTACTGTGGCCCCTCTATTCTTTGCGGCGGGGCCTCCAGTGCCAGGCTCGCAGCAATGATTTGAAGCTGCGAGCCTGGCTTTGGCCGTGAGCTGACGTCCCGGAGACAGTGGGGAGCCAGAATCCGCGGGGAGGCGAGGATTTTGGTGGGGCCCCCTGGCCCAAGAAAGCGAGCTGTCTCGTTGAGTGGCAGAAAAAAGCCGGGGTGCTCGAAGTAACGCCGCCAAGCCTTCCCCGAGACGATCTTGTGGCGCCTGGCTCAAGCTCTTAAGGACCCGGCAGAACCCTAAACCCTCAAACTCTAAACCCCACACCCTAAACCCTAAACCCGAAACCCAAACCCCTAAACCCTAAACCCTAAACCCTAACCCCTAAACCCAAAGAGCCAGAGGCCGCCATGAGCATCTCCTTGCAGGAGCTCCGGCCTCCCCAGGGGCCCCAGGAGAGAGGGCCTGGCCAGAGCTCGCCGAGTTCCAGCCGTCCGGAGTCGGTGGAGCTCCATGACGTGTGGAGCAGAGGGGGTGCCGATCTTCCGAAAGGCTGCTGCTACCGCCGCTCGGCGTGTTATAAGGGACCCTGGCCATAGCCTTTTCCGAATGATCTGGACCCGCCTTGATTCGGCCAGCATCGCAATTTCACATCGACAGCCGCCATGGCACTCAAGATCTGGTGCGACCGGGTTCGGGTTTAGACTTCGCCACACGTGTGAAGGAAAAGCCCAGTGGCTCATGTAGCGTCCAGGTTTACTGGCAGAGCAAGCTCCCAAAGCCCGTTGCTGATCTTCGGTGTTGCTGCCTCCCAGGACGCTCCTTATGGAGCTGGATGCTCGACTTGCTGATCGGTGTAGTGGTTGCAGTCTGCGCCCAACTGGTGCACTACGGTCATGAAGCGCTCAGTACCTTTCGTATGTACCTTGTGGGGCTGGTGCTGCCGGGCATCTTCGGCGCATGGGTCGTCAACACACTGAAGCTTGGCGAAGACAGTGGTAGAAGCAACAACAAGCATCATAATCATGACAGTGAGAATAATGGTAAGACTAGTGACAACAATAATAGTCATACTCAAACAAACAAATACAGATAAAAAACCGAAATACTAATAACAACGCCAATGCCCAAGAGTAATCGCAATAATAATAAATCAACAACAACAACAACGATGCGACACCACTAGCAATAACTGCAATGAGTGTATAGTATGCGGTACTGTATTAATCGGACTAAGACCCCTAAACCCTAAACCCTAAACCCTAAACCCTAAACCCTAGCTCCCTTATCCGCCCAGCGGCTCAGGATAACCCTTGTCTATGTTGCCGGTGCACACGCCTGTGTACTCTGGCAGCCCAGTGCCATCAGTGGAGGTATTCCAGGCAGGGTTTGGGGCTCAGGGATTTAGGGTTTACAGTCGGGACGCTGCTAAACCCTAAACCCTAAACCCTAAACCCTAAACCACTTGCGCATGAAATGACATGCAGGGGTCTCAGGTCTCAATTCTGTTTTGAGCCGCACTGGCCTACAGGTGTCATTGCCTTCCTCAACGGCGTGGACCTAAGGAAGAGCCTCTTTACCCAAGAAATCCTAGCCCCTCGGCAACTTGAAGAGGAGTTTGGTGTTTTGAAGCCCTTAACGATCCATGCCCTAAACACTAAACCCTAAACCCTAAACCCTAAACCAGGCAGCAAAGATCCTGGGCGTCATTTGTGCCTGCGGCTCTTCCTTGGCTGTCGGTCCGGAAGGGCCCATGATCCACATCGGAGCTACGACAGGTGGCACGCACACATAGAGGGGGCTTTTCCTCGTTTTCCTGGGTTTAGGGGTTTAGGGGTTTAGGGTTTAGGGTTGTGCCGGGTTTCCTCCCTTCCCTCTCCTCCCTCCCTTGCGTGGAGTTGCGTGAAGCTGCTTGAGGTGTCTTGGTCCTGGCGCAGTGTCGACGGATCGAGTGGTTTCGGCGGGTGCTGCACAGCGGTGGCAGCCGAAGCCTGGAACTCCATGCAGCAGCTGTGGGCGCAGGCTGTGGAGTTACCGCGGCCTTCTGGGCGCCCTTGGCAGGCACGGCATGTCAAGCTTCAGTGAGGTGAGTAGATCTTGAAGCGTCACTTGAAAGTTGGTGCAGGGACTCTCTTCGTGGTTGAGGAGGCTGCGACCTACCTCTCCCCTCGCTTTTTCGTGCATGTCTTTGGTGCGTCCTGCCTGTCCTTGGGCGTTGTGCTGCTCTGGCAGCAGCTGTGGCAGCATACCGGCCAGTACAGTCCTCTGTTTCAAGTCTTCTTGGGTCCAAACTGTTCCTACAGCGAGTTCATCTACTACGCAAGCTGCGGGGTGATCGGGCTGATCTGTGGGCTTCTGGCCTGTCTCTTCAACCGTATAGTCCTGGAGCTGAACTTCCTCCGGCAGCATTGGAGAGCTCAGGGGCACAGCCGCGTCTTTACACTCGAGGTGGTCATCATTGCTGTGCTGTCAAGCTCACTTGGCACTCTTGCCCCTGCAGCGACGGGATGCCACCAGAGCACCATTCAGCGGGCCTTTGCCAACAGCAACCAGTGCATAGCGGGAGAATGGGCCCATCAGATCTTCCAGGGCAGAGAGAACTTTCAGGAAAATGCGAAGATCGTGCCGGCTCCGGGTCTTTTCGGGGTGCAGTACAACCCGGATGACTGCCCCACGGCCATCTTCAACGACACAAGAAATCCGCCCTGCAACCTGGAGAAGGCCGGATTCAAGTTCCCTGCGGAGATCCCGGAGCGAGAGCGCTACTTCTACTGCTGTGGTTTCGATGACCTGGACTCCTTCCACCAGGGCCGCGTTTACAGCTTCACTTCGCCTCGAGCACCCTTGAACCTGGAGGAGGACCCCAGACGCAGGCTGAAGCCTAAACTAGCCTAAACTATCCGACCCCCCTAAGCGGCCCTGAACCAAAACCGCAAGGCCTGAACCCTAGAGCCCAGAAGCCCCAAACCCGAAACCTTAAGCTAAACCCACGAACTCCAAACCTTCAGCCCTCAACCTTCAACTAAACCCTAAGCTCCTCTCTAAACTCCATAGAACCTTGACGGAACCCCTCATAGAACCCCTCATAGAACCATAGAGACCCTTCATAGAACCCCTCATAGAACCCTCATAGAACCATAGAAGCCCTTCATAGAACCCCTCCTAGAACCCTCATAGGACCCTTCTAAGTGAGACCCTAGGAGCCCAAGAGTCCCCCCGAGGAGTTTTGGCCGGCTTTCGGATGTGATGCGGATGTGGCAACGCACCTGGGCTGTGAGCTTCATGCAGTAGGGTTTAGGGTTTAGGGTTTAGGGTTTAGGGTTCATGGAATCTACCAATAGCAGGGGTGTATAGTAAACAAGTTTCGTATCGCCTGCTGGCTGTTAAGGCGCGTCGATCTAAAGCTACCATAGCAGTTATCCGCTCTGTAAGTAGTAGTAGTGGTTTCCTCAGTATGGCAACTTGGAGCCGACGATTCCTTGAGAAGAGCCCAGGAACATCAGCATTCCCAGCTACAGGCCCATGGCGGCCTTGGCTTTCGTTCCCGGAAGGATCAGGGTTTAGGGGGAGGATGCTTCAGGGTTCAGGGTTTAGGGTTCCCTTAAAGGAGCTCTTTAAGGGAGCCCTTAAAGGAGCCCTTCAATTGGAGCCCGTAAGGGTTCTGTCCAAATCTGTAAGTCCACCACTAGTTCCCGGAAGGATCACGGTGAAGAATCTCTTCACCAGAGGGTCTCCAAACATGCTGCCCACGAGATCTATGCTGGCTTTCTTGCCCCTCTACTTCATCCTGGCCGCGATCACGTCTGGAGCGGCCGTTCCCAGTGGCCTCGTGATACCCATGATGATTATTGGAGGCTGTGTGGGCCGACTTTGTGGTAACCTTCTGACGCTGATCGATGTTTGGCCCTGCCCTTCCGACTGGACAGATGAGTATAAGATGCTGCTGAGCTGCAAATGCTTGCAATTGAACCACCCCAAAGCCCCAACCCCAAACCCCAAACCTAAATCCTGCAACCCGCAACCCGCAAACCCCAAAATCCCCAAACCCACAGCTTTGACTTGAATCAAGGCTGCTGAAGATGCTGCGTCAGCAAAGCATCCGCACCTCCTCGTCGCACACCTGTGGCCTCCCAGACCCGGGTTCCTTTGCCATCGTTGGGGCCTCGGTGCTCTGCTTTGTTTGTTCAACTCTCCCAGAAGTAAAGTGCAGTTTCGGGTTTAGCGGTTCAAGGTCGACCCTGGGTTCCTACGAGAGCCTAAGCCCTAAACCCTGAGCCCTTGGCCCTGGAAGACAAAAGAGCGAGGTGGGGGCCGCTGCTTTCATGAGCGCCTCAGGGAGCATCGTCCTGTTCGTGATAGCGATGATGGCGCCAGCCTCAGCCCGCATCATGGAACGGTCTCAATCCCTGTATCTCACACTCTGATAGCAGAAACAGCCGTCGCAACAGTAAGAGTAAGAAAACACACAGGAATAGCAATAAAGCTAATGGTCAGGATGAACAACTCCCCGAGACACTCAATAGGGAGGTATGTTGACGAAGACCAGCAAAGCAGATCAGACAACCCCCGCATGTTCAGCATTATCCAAGCTGTGAGGTTGAGATCACCGGGGACATCTCTTCGCTTCTTCCCATTGCCTTCGGCGCCATCACTGGGCGTTTTGTGGTCCGGTCCTTCATTGGCCATGGCCTGTACCATGACCTCGGGGGGCGGGTTTGCAGGTTTGATTGTCTCCCATGTGCCTGGCGTTCCTTGCTTGTGCGGCCCCCGAAAATCTGTGTGTTTCCTTCCTGGGGTGCTTTTCTTGCAGCTCGCATCTTGCACTGACTTTATGTAACGGCTGCATTAGACCAGTTCAAAAGGCGAGCCCCTGCAGATCCGGCCGAAGCCGTTGCAGCTCGCAGGACCTCATGCAGATCACCAAGCTGCCCTTCTTGACCCGGGAGTGTCCTCTGCAAAAGGAGGATCGCAAGGCACCGGTCTCTTCGCTGCTGCGTGGAGAGCCGGAGACTTCGCTGAGATACCTGCGCCGACGTGAAAGCCGGGCTTCCGTGGAGGCTTTGCTGCAAGACTGCAGCCACAATGGCTTTCCGATCGTTTCGGAAACGGGGCAGCTGGTTGGGCTGGTTCGACGTCGAGAGCTGGAGGGGTGCCTGCCGGAGGGCCAGGGAGAGGTACAGTTACTTGGCGTTCTTTTTTTTGGCTCTTAGGACTTTAACTTTTTGGATTTCTATATGAACTATAGTAAGGTAGCTAAAAGTTTAACTTTTAGGAGGGGTTCAAAGTCAGCCAAGGTTAGATGCTTTGGCAGATCCGGCGCCCTACACGGTGCACAAAGACTTCCCCGTGGATCGTGCCTACCTGCTCTTCCGTGACTGGGCCCTGAACTTCAGGAAGTTTCCTCAAGTTACCATGGGAAGGAAACCCTAAGCAGCCTTATGGTGCTCGTAACCTAAACCCTAAACCCTAAACCCTAAACCCTAAACTGTAGGTTCCTTAGGAGCAACCTAGGAGAGTTGGGGCTGCGCCAGCTCGTCGTGGTGGATGACTCCGGGAAGCCCGAAGGGGTCCTCACCCGCAGCTCCTTCCTCCCGGAGTGATCGCTTGAAGGCTTGAAGAAAACGAAGCAGCTGCTGCATCCTTTAGCATCTAAGAATCTAGGCCCCAAGCCCAGCGCACAACCAGAGTACTGTGCCCTGTTACCGATCGAATGCCGTGCACTGTAACCCCGCCAAAAGTTACGCGGCTTGACGCTGTCTGATGGCAAGGTGCCTTGGCCTTCGTAGAGCCGGCAGTGTAAAGACCAGACCAGTCAAAGACGTCGTCGTGATGTGTGTCAGATACCGGACTCAGCCTCTGGGCCTGCAGGGCTCATGGGCGCCTAGCACGTCCTACTACTACCACTACTACTACTACTACTACTACTACTACTACTACTACTACCACTATACCAGAGAACCAGATAGCATTGTTTGCCGTAGCTGCCTTCGGGCTCCGGCCCTGGGGGATGAGGAAGTCCTCCAGCCTTCTCTGACCTAAGACTTGGGGGTTTCTCCGAAAATTGGGGTACCCTTTCTTGGGGTCCTTATAATAAGGATCCTATTCTTGAGGGTACTATATTAGGGTCCCCTATTTTCGGAAACCCCCACTTAAGGCTGTTCCAAACTGCCGGATCAGCTGTTAGGCTTGCGATCGGGGCGTTCTCGTAGTCCTAAGAAGTAGGTGCATGGTGTTCGCACGGGGAAGTTTTGTGGAAGACGTGGCTCATTGCGGCATTGCGTCGGTCGGCGCCAATGGCCTGGGGCTCAGAGGACAACGGACTTGGGCCTTCGTTTGCCTTGTGTGAAAGAGGCGTGGTCGGCCCGGCTGCTTGGCCCCGGGCTCAGGGGGGGCCTAGAAGCTTCCTAGAATCAATTAACCCTATAAGCCTAGCTAAACATCCCAAAACCCTGCGAACCCCAAGCTTCGGGCTACAATCCCTATCTCAGGTCTCGCATCTTGGAGTCTCGCCATGGCAGACTGGCCAGGCTGCCAGGCCAGAAAATCTCGTAGCAAACGTGGCCGTGAAGGCTCAAGGAAGCTCAAAGCAGACTTGGTGCATTTGGATCCTGCGTCGAAGGAGAATAACATCGTCATCAGGAATGCAGGGCGTGCCCTTTTCACGCGCGGTCCCTGGCGCGGTCACCTCGTGGAAAATCGGCCATGTACACAGGTTATATTGGTCTAGTATGAGTATTGATGTTGGATTATCTGATATCGTATGCTACTACATTGTATGTGTAGTCTTGTATGCTGAAAGTAGACGTGATGTAGAGTAGAATGTTAGACATGTGTTGCTACATACTATCACGGCGCCATTCCTGCTGAGGAACTTGCAGGGCTTCGGTGCCACGGTCGGCTGCTTTCAGGCAGTGGCCCGCCCCTGAAATCCCCGCAGAGAGGGGTTTCTGCTAGGACAGATTTGTAAACCAACCCTCTAAACTCTAAACGCTAGACCTCAGAAGCCCTAGAAGCCCTATGAGCTGTGCCCCATAAACGTTGTAAAGCCTCTAAGCACCACAGATCCTTGATGCCCATGAGACCTGCAAAGCGTATATGAAGCCCTGTAATCCTTATAGTTCTTAAAGAAGGGATTTTGCGAAGTAATGATCCTGGTATCTTGGGGATCTGTTCTCTTTGCGGGTCCCTGATTTTCCTGGGTCCTTGTGGCGAGGATGGCTCCGTTTCTATCTCTGCGCATATGAGTGGGTTCCTCCCTTTTGGTGTCCATATGAGGGAGGGCCCCGCATTTTCCGCATTTTCCGAAGCCCTCAAGTGTCTCTGCTTCTACATCGAGTCTCCTATCTGCCAGCATTTGGGCTTGTAGCGCAGAACGGATCAGCTGCCCAATGGAATGCCGGGCTGGCCGACAGCATGGACATCCTGGGCATCACCTTGCTTGCGCACGAAGCCGTCGAAGCTGACGGCAGAGATGGCAGCGGATTTTTTAGGTTGCTGTCCCGAGGGCGTTGCCATCCAGAGCATGGCGGTTGCGCACACCTCTCAGGTGCTCTACGCTGTCTGCAGCGAGGCGATCAACGTGGTTCTGCCCCGAATCAACTTGGAGCTCGGGGGGGATCTGTCAGATTTCGCTCGGATGCAGATGGGCACCAACCTGCTGCAAGCCGGTGGCGGCGCTGCCTTCGGTCTTTTCGCGGACAGGTACGGCCCAAAGGCCGCGTTGTTGGCCGCGCACTCGGCTGCGATTTGCAGCAGCACAATCTTCGCAGCGGCCCATTCCAAAACCTTCCTTTATTTGGGCTGCCTTCCTTTGGTGGCCAAGCATGGCTATCAGGCAGCACAGCAGGTTGCGACGCTGCATTCCTCCAGAAGCAGCCGCACCAAAGCGCTTGGCCGCATCGGCACCGCGTACGGTATGGGCTTTCTGGCAGGGTCGGTCGTCGTCACTCGGCTTGCAGGGAGCTTTAGCCCGCGCGGCATTGCTGCCTGTTCCGTGGCCATGGACGTTTGCACATGGCTGGTGGTCTGGGCGATGTACCCGGAGTCCCTTCACAACGAGAGAGAAGACCTGACAGAAAGAGAAAGCCCACAGTCGCCGAAGGATTTTGGTCTCAGTGACCTCGCGCGCCATCGCTACGTGCCGACCCTGCTGGTCTTCAAGGCTGTCACGACGGGAAGTGCCGGCATGATCTTGGGCATGCTGCAGCAGTTTGCTTTGGATCCCTTCAAGCTGTCCCTGTCCTCGGCGGGCCTGATGACGAGCTATATCGGCATCGCCTATCTCGTGGCGCAGGCTGTAGTTGCTCCTGCCCTGGGGAACCAGAGCCCTAGAATCCTGGTCCTGGGCTCCTTTGCTTTCATTGGTCTGAGCCTGGGGAGCCTGGCTTTTGCGAGCGGCCCACTGAGCTATGCAGCATTGCTGGGTCCTCTGGTGATCTCCTCCCATGCCTCGAATGTGGCAATCAATAGCGCCCTGACCCTCTTGGTCTCGCAAGAGGAGCAGGGTCAAGTCCTGGGCGTCAGCATGGCTTGCACTTCTGTCGGCTACCTCTGGGCCCCGCTGTTGGCAGCAGGCATCTATCAACACTTGGGCTTTCCCGCAGTGCCCCTCGTGGCCGCAGCCATTCTTGGCGCTACGTCGGCTGTCTCCTTGCTGGTTTTGGAGTATGAGGCCATGCCTGCCAGCACCTGAGGCGCCGCCTTGCACGGAGCTTGGAGTTCCATGTCCGACCCCGCGGAAGAAGCCCTTGGCCCTGGAGCTTGAAAGCTGCTGTCAAGACCGAGTCGGAGTCTGCTTCGCCAAAGCAGACACGAAGCTCGCGAGGGATGGGGCGGGGATGGGGCTGGCGGCGTTTTCTCCTGGACTGCAGTTTTCTTACGAAGAAGGCCCGGGCCAAAGGCACCAGGCCTTTGCTTTGCACAGCGGTGCGGAGAAAAGCATGCGCGGCTCCTCAGCACTCGCAGTTCTCTGCGGTCTGCATGGGGAAGTCTGGGCTGCAGGACGACTGCCAAAACACCGATAAGTTTGTCGCAAGCTCCATCGAGTCTTGCACCAAGGCCTTGCTCGGAGCCAACTCTTTCTTTCGCAGATTTTGTCAGATCTTGGTCTTGGGGTCAGATATGTTCTCCGCAGAGTTTTTATTGTGTGGCTCAAACTGAGTAGTTTCTATCAGCCGAAGCGTTCAGTCTTTTTAGGCGCGGGCCGGCCTTTTCTTGCATCTCCTGTTTCGCAGCTTCTTTCCTGAGCCCTGACGAGGACGAGCGGTTTTTCCACTGCTTGCAGCGAGGCGAGCTGAATTTGGAAGGGCCGCGACTATCGCATGTAGTCGTGAAGACTCTTCTGCGGTCGTGAAGACGCTCACCTGCACCTCGTCAAAGACGCATCGGTCGTCTGGCTTGCATTCGGAGGTCTTGTCACGCAAGCAAAGTCTCGCATCAACCAAGGTCTCGGGAATCCATTTCTATGAACGGTTTCTGGCGAGCCACCAGGCAAAATCACGTGAGACGAATCGTGCACTGCAGTTCCCCATGTACTGGCAACCATGGCGAACACCCTTTGAGACTAAGGCTGCATGTAGCTGTACAGAGTCGCAGTCCGATGCGCTGCCCCTGCTGGAAGAAGTTCAGTCGCTCAAGCTCGACCACGAAAGCGCAGATAAAGTCTTTGCAGTATGCGACGCCGATGGGCACCTCGGCATGGAGAGGGAGTGCCATTGAAACCCTAAAGGCCAAAGCCCCCTGAGCCTTGAATATGAGCCTTGCAAAGAATTGAAAGACACCTCTCACCTGCCCAGGATGGAAATCGGTTCCTTGGCCTGCACCGATGCAGTTGCCGCTTTCTGTCAGCGAGGGCCTAGTGAGGAATTGACCGAGGATCCGTGAAGGACAGAGCCGTTGGCCGCGGCTCGTCTTGAAGTTTCTAGCAAAGTGGGGGGTTTCCGAAGATAGGGGACCCTAATCTAGTACCCCAAATAGTAGGATCCTTATTATAAGGACCCCAATATTAGGGTCCCCTTATTTTCGGAAACTCCCAAGTGGCTCCCTCCGAAGCTTCCATTGTCAGTTCTCCGAGGTCTGCATACATTTGAATGCATGTCGCTCTCAGCTCAGCTCTGTAGCAGTACAGTGCGCTGCGGGACGTAGGCAGAGTTCATGACGCGCCAGGTCATCGCAGCCAGAAGAGCTTCCTCTTGACGACTTGCCGCTGAGTGTTTCTCCTGAGCCCAGTCCACGCTCAAATCCTCCAGCTGCCCGGCAGAAGCATCTGAGAGAAGCTAAGTCTCACATTTCTGTGTGAAGGTCGAGTATTTCGGTGGTTCTTTTTTATGCAACATCTCGAAGCATAATGTGACACATGAAGATGCACATAGTCAGATCCTGGTTAGGAGGAGGAGCAGAAGGAGAGCAGCATGAGCGATGAGTCAGATGACGACGCCGTGGAGGTGGCTTGGGTTCTTTCTTCGAGCACTGCTTTGCCCTTTGCCGTGTTCACTTTCAGGCAGAGGAGAAGGAGCCTCTCGAAGAGATGCGCGGATGGTTAATGTGCGGCTCATTCGCAAGGGTGTGCCGTGCTGTGGCAGAAGATCTGTCCTGCAGAGAGCTCAGGTTACGGTGAACCCAGCGGGGGCAATCGCCTGCAGGCTCAAGTGCAACCTGTCGCCACTTGTCTTTCTCAAGACAAGAGGGGGCGGGTTTTCGTGTCAGGTCGCGCGCCTGGCGAAAGCATCAGCTGGCACGCCGGTAGCAGGCGAACGTTGTCCGGCGACTCAATCCTCTTCCCGTTCCTCCGCAGTTTTGGGCCTCGTTCCTTCAGGACTCTTCTGGAAGAAGCGCTACATCCAACTGGTGGATGCCCAGCTTCTATGCTGGGCGACGGCGCCACAGCATCGAGGCGCCACAGCCTCTAAGATTGCTGCGCCGCGCTGCGCTGCGCTGTGCTGCGCTGTGCTGGTGGTTCAGGCTCGCGGGTAGCCCCAGTGGCCGTCCTGCTCCTGGCGCAACTCGAGGAAGTTGCGGTGACAGGCGCCTGGCTCCGATGGGCCCCTGGGGTTCGGGGCTTCGTCGCAGACTTTCGTTACCGACAGGCAAGACGCTGACGCTCCACATGAGGAACCAAAAAGGCTGCCTGCAAGCACGCGCCGACAGCGATGAAAGCGCCAACACTTGGGCCCGAGCGGTGGCTTTGGCCAGTGGATTCAGCAAATGTTGTAGCTAATCGCAGCCAGTGCGCAGCTCATGTGGCTGGTGCAGGGATCGTACAAAGACACGCCCTGGTTCTTACTAGGGCGCTAGTGTTCGTTCTATGGGCCGGGTTTTTTCGATGGTCATGAAACTATGGGGTTATAAATTCGGCTGCATTTCAGATGACAGGGTCGCTACTTGTATGGTGCTGCGAGGGTTCTTGGTTCTTGGAAGGAGCGCTATCGTGAAGCTTGGCCACAGAAAGCCAAGCCAAAGCCGAGGTAAAAGCTCATGCGGGCCGTGCTATCAGCAAGAGCTTGCCTCCCGGCTGGGATGTGGAGGCGCCCATTCATCCTGGCCCCGACATCCCACGGTGTCCCACACCAATTTTCTAGATCTCTTAGTGCTTGGAGGTGGATGTGCGCACGGTTGTGTCCTTCTCTGTTCTCTCGGATTCGGGGTCGAGGGCATTGGGGCTCGCAACAAGATTCCAATAGCCAGAGGCCAGCTGGCATGGCCCTGTGCCCGGACATCGAGGAAGCAGCAAGATTCAGGGGAAAACCCGCGTCTGCGCGAGGCCATGCTCAGCCGTGGCATGGGTGGTTCGGCGGCCAAGATGGTCCAAGCCTCGACTACAGCCCCGAGGGTCGAGTTTGGAGCCGAAATGTTTTCATATATTTTCGCTCGATGCCAGGTCAACAAGGAGACCCTGGACTCCAGCTGCAACGATGCGTTCCAAAAGATCCTCTCTAGCACCCCAGACAAGCTGCCCCAGCTTACTCTCTTTCGTCTTCACCTGACAAGTGAATGCGTAACCCAAACACCCTAAACGAGAATACGTCAACCCTACAGGGCCCTGAGGCCCTTAACCCTCAGCCCTGTGATGCTCTACAATGCCGCCGGGTCGGAGGTTGCTGGACCACTGCTTCGTTTGCAAGACCACCAAAGACCGCCCCTTGCCCAGCGTCCAGGTGCAGACATCAGGAGAAGTCCATGTCAATACCATCTCATGTCTCATTCTCGGTATTGGCAGTTTGTACTAAAAGGCAGCACAATACGCGTAGCTAGAATAACAGATAACCGATAAGAAGAAGCAGAGCAACAACGGTAGGTACAAGCAGCAAAAATACAATGAATAGGCTTACAATTTCGACCCGTGCTTCTGATTCATAACGACAACCTTCCTGGCGATAGCAGCAAAACCAAACCAAGACGAGCCGCCTTTGCCGGCTCGATGAGGTCGCGGGAACCCCGTGCCAATGCGGCTGGAAATTGCAGAAGCAGTTCGTGTTCAGAATGGAGCCGCCTGGTTGGAGTACGACAAGGCCGGGCCCGGAAGTCGTAGATGTCAGGTCCAACCGTTGAAGTAATGAGACTAGCTGCCCTGGCAAGACAAAGCAAACAAGACCAAGACGAACAACGACACTAACAACAGCGCTAACAACAGCACCATAAGCAACAACTGCAGCATCAACAAGAACACCAAAAGCCCCAACATCGACAACAACCTCAATAGCATCAGCAACATCAACAACATCTACCGCCACCACCGCTACCACCACCAGCAGCAGCAGCAACCGCACGGCATCGGCAACAGCAACAGCAACAGCAACGGCAGCAGCAGCAGCAGC